AGCAGTTCAAAAGCATGTAAGAATGCAAGTAGAAAAATAGGAACCACCTTTGGTGGGAAAGTAACAGTGTTCCATGCGCTTCAGCATTTAGACATGATGGCCACATGACCACAGAGACATCTTTGGACAGTGCTGGCTCTTTGACTTTGAAACAAAGATGAGCACCGCCTCCTAGAGTCAGGAACGACTAGCATATATGTGCAAGGGGAAGCTTTAACCTTTACATCTGTCTTATCTATAAAATGTTCTATTAAGTATTTTAAAAAATGTGATCAGTTGAGAATAAAGAAAGACACTGTATATCAGAAAATGAAATACTCACATTACCAACTTAGAGGTTTGATGAGGTTTAGAAGTTTCTAATCTATGCAGAGGTCGATTTTCTACCACCACCACCCTTTCCTTTGCATGCTTTTGGATATAACATTACATTTACACTGCTATGTTCATATCTATAGTTACATCAGAACACAATGAAGCTAATCTTAAATCAATACAATCTATCAACATTTGTATGGGCTTACACATTTGGGATATGTAAGCCCATTAAAATTAAAATGAAAGGCACTACCACTAAAGCTGAAGCATTAATTAACACTACGAACTCCCAAATGGACGAGACTAATTATTATACTCCGGATAAAGGCTTATGAAATGTTAAATGTGATATTTAAAGCAAGACTTGCCCCCATATCTAATGAATAGGCTTAAGCAAAACCTTTTATTAACCTCTCCTAATTTTCTAAGAAAAAGAATGGGTTCAGTGGGGGACAGGATGAAAGAAAATAAATAAAGACGAAAAGAAGGGAGGACTGGGAATGAATTCGCCTTACTCTTTAATAGTTTTAGAACTGCTACGTTTGTCTTATTCTGGGAAAGAACTTCAATATCTATCCATAAGATATTATTTTTGCTCAGTTCGTTTTCAGAGGGAAGCATTCAAATGTCATTCCACAGCAAATGCAGCTGACAAAACAGCCAATTCTGGCTCTGAATATGTTTGGCTTCCTTATGCCCCCAATGGATACTACCATAGTAAGCAACACTATCAGAGTTTAAGAAAGTCTTTTTCTCCACATAATTAGCATTTAAACATAAACATTAAAATCTCTTCAGCTGTACCAGTTTGATTGTGGCTCATAAATCTATTCTTTTTTATGCCTAACTCTACATATTGATTCCTACAATATCACTCCAGGAAAAGGCTGTGAGTCCTCATAAAGATTAAAAACAATAAGCTACACTGAGAAGGGTTTTGTAGCCTCCTTGCCTTTAGCCAAAAGCCATTACTTCTAACCGAGGGCATTATTGTATCATACTGTAGTAAAATATACTGTATTTTTGTCCAAGAATGTAATGGCTTACAATAATAACCTTATTCTGTTAGAATTATACTCAGTGGCTCATGTCAAGCTAGAATGAGATGCCAAGGGGAGTATTACAGGGCTCCATTCTTCGGCCATCACTGTTCCTATGTGCACCAAAATATGCACGAGGTTATCATGCTTATCGAACAAGATTATCAACTTCATAGATGACACCAAGATAAGGAGGATAGCAAACACCCTGAATAACTGTATCAAGATTCAGGATGATCTCTGCTATGTGTGATTTTTCTAGAAATACTTAAGAAAACAAGCCTCTTTGAACTCAAAGACATATCAAGGACCATCCTCCCAATCTTGAGAGGCTGACCTTTATCACTTTATTCCTAGATGGCAAATATTTTTACCCCCACATCTCTTTTATTGGTGTAATTTTTTCATCTTATGAGGAGTGTATTTGCATCTCTAAGTGAGAGGTATGAATGGCTTTTAGAGTCCTAATGCAAAAGAGCAACATTCAAACCATTTCATCTGATTACATTTAATATATACATATACTGTCCTCAGTAATTTCTTAAAGTTAAAAAGGAAAAAAAATAATTTGTCTATATAGCAATANAATGCTGGCTGGGGAATTCTGGGAGTTGAAGGCCAGACATCTTCAAGTGGCCAAGGTTGAGAAACACTGTTCTAAAGCAAAGGACAGAGGAAGAAGCAGTTCCATAGCAAGTAGGGTCCCACTGGCAGCCATAGAGGAGACAGCTGACGTCTCCAAGCCAAGCGCTCAAGGGGCAGCAAAGTGGGTGCCGATACATTTATAGGGCAAAGATGACTGCCCACCACATGGAACCGTCTTGGGCCCCAAGGAACCTTAGCGTCCTCCTGGGCCAGCAAGGGAACCCATAGCTGAGCATCACTGGGGAGAACGTCACTGAGTAGCCACCCTTTCCTGCAAACAGAGGACTCGGGGATCCAGAAAAGGGGATCGGAGAAGCCCAAGTGCAGACATGTTTTTGGGGTGTGTGGGAAGGGACTCGTATCCAGGATTATTTTGGAGTTACGCTTCCTTCACCCTCTCTTTTGGAGGGGGCAGCATCAGCCAGGCCAAAGAGGACTAGGTACCACCATGTTTATCCCTTTTGCTGGTCAAGCCTAGGCTTTTATTGCTTCCCCCCTATATTAAGCGTATGGATTACAGTAGGAGGGGGGTGGCTTTTCCCGCTCCCCAGGCAGAGCACGTGGTCCATCCGTTTCAACAAAAGATGGGTTTACAAAGGCACTAATGTCAGCTGGCCAGTTAAACGTGTCGAGAGTAAGGCAAAGTCATCCATCTTGGTCCTTCCCTGAAGTGAGGAATCTCTCCGGTCAAGTCCTCGCGTGCTCTGCGAGGGGGCAGGGTCTGATCTGAGTCTGCCTCCTGCTCTACACGCGGATCCTTCGGCCTTGCAATTTTCACAAAGAGCCGAGAGGGAAGATTCCTATCGACAGACAAAGAAGGCTGTGGAAAAGGGGGCAAAGCGGGAGTTACAACTGGGGGGGGGGGTAGGGATGTGAGGAGTTCAGAGGAAGGGATGCTGGTGAATTCATAGATCAGTTCCTCGTTCCAAAGAGAAGCCATTGAGCAATAGGTACATAGGTGAGACAGAGTTAAAAAGAAGGGGAAAACTCCCCCAAACGTTGCAACTAGGCTGGTTTATAAGAAAGTGGGGTGGGGAATAGAAATAAAGGCCAAACATCTGGTCAACTTTCGCTTAGCTCTTTTAGGGGGGGGGGGAAAGAAGACAGAAGAAAAACACGGAAGAGAAGAAGGATGGTGCGCGGTGGCGGTGATGGAAGGCGCCGAAAGGATGAAAGGAGGTCTAACCAAGATGGCCTCTGTTTCAGTAGGAGCCTTCCCACCTTTGCCATGGCAACCTCGCCACCATCCATCTCGCTCGGCAATCTGGGAAGATCCATGAGAAGCTGCCATGTGCTGCTGGTGCGCTCGACCGCAAAGCCCACTGCCCCTTTCAGCTAAACATAAAGAAGGGATAATGCGTCTTTCCTAAAATGTGCTTTATGATAACAATTAATTGATTCATAAACTATGTATAATAGAGATTTTAATGTATTTTTTATACTGTAAGAAGCACCAGGTTTTGTATTTTTTAAATTTTTTTTTCAGCTTAGGGTTGGTTTTTTTTTTAAAGTTTTTTTTTCCTTTACTTTCAATTTTGCAATCGTCTTCAATTTTTTTTTAAACCTGATACAGTGTTTTTTTTTACAAGCTTATTTTTGTGCATGACAAAACTTTTGCCTTCAGCCCTCCCATAAAATGACAAAACTAATGAGGAAAAAGAGGAAACAACAACCAATCCTCAATTATTATCGACCTTTTCAAAAGAATTTAAAAAAATAAACAAGGAAAAAGGAAAAAAATAGACAAATGAAAAAATAAACAGAAAAAGTTTTTCCCCATACTTACAAAGGTGGGTTTTTTCTCTTTTGTCCCAATTTATTTAGAGTCCCTGAGAACAGAGGACTTTGCAACAAAAATAGATTTTTTCTCTCTTCTTCTTAACAATCTTTAACATACAAAGATATTAAAACTATGCACTCCATTGCACTTGGCTCAATGCAAACAAAATTGGTTCTTTTAAAACCCCTAATATATATTTCGTTTTTTTAAAATCCCCTCCCCCTTTTAAACAAAAGTGTTTTGTGTGTTTTGCTGCCGATACCTGTAAGCCACCAAAACTGAAACTTCTCCATGTCACCCCTTATGGATTCATCCCCAGGGTTGACATTTACCCCTTTTTTTAGGACTCCAGCAAGGCAACATGTAAATAGATGGCACGGATATTCCATCTACCCACCTACATGCTACTGTTATTCATCTGTTAACCTCTTAAAAATCCCAAGTATTAAATAAGTGCTTAAGCACTGTTAGGATTTAAAGCTTCTTTTTTTTTTCAGAATTAAATAACAGTAAACTTCTACTCCCCTACCAACCACCCTCTAACCATTTTAAGTGCTGTTTCATTGGTGGTCACCCACCTCTGGATTCCTGCAATTCCTACCTTTTTTCCCCCCCCAGATCTATCCATTTCCTGTTTTTAGGGAACCCATTCTGAGCAATGCTGGGCATTAAGGTCAGAAGCTTCCAACAATTGAGTAAAATTATTGGGCTACTTGAAAGGAAAGCAATCAGTGTTTTAAGTGAATGAGCTTACTAAATATATTTAAGAACTGAAGGAATGGAGCAGGATCACTTCTTGTAGGGCTAACATATCTATTTGGGCTAGAAAAGCCAGATGGCTACTGGTCTTGGAGGCAATCTAGTGAAGGTCTGGGTTTCTGCATATTAAATAGAGCCACCTGGACTATTGTGATCTTCACAATACAAATATTTGGAAGATTTTTCACGCTTTGTATGTTTGTATGCTGAGAAATTGTCGAGCCTAATGGAAACAGGAATTTGGGTATGTTTGGGGTAGGGAAGGCACAATCTTCTTCAATCTGGGAATGTTTCAAATGCTCTTATAACCAAATCAAACAAAAATCATGGATCCTTTCAAATGCTACAGCTTGAGTCATATTTAATATTAGCACATTCCCCAAGCCTTGTTACACGTTGGAATCCTCTCCAGTGCAATCAGTCTAGAAAAGGTGCTTTATGTCGATTATTTTGCTTTAAAAGGTCGTGAACGGTAGGCTGGATAGTCCAAGGGGATCTCTTTTTTTTAAGGCCACCAGATTAGGAACTGTATCAATGCTCTCAGATGCAAAATATATCCAGGCTCAGTGTTCTTAAGGAAACACACGCTTTGGGCATTTTTTTTAATCTGAGCAGTTTCATAACAGGAATGGGGTTTATGTCCTAATTGTAGCTGCTGCATCCAAATTCTGCCCATATCACTGATTTGGCTCCATCTTTTACTCTATGGATATTCAGCTACATTCAATATTTTTTTTTTCTCAGAGTGCTGAAAGGGGGATCAACAATCATAGTATGAATTTTTATTCCAACGTCACCTCTACTACATTATGCTTAATTTTTGAATAACATTAAGAGAACTTAATGTGAGAGGACCTGTGGTGTGACAGAAGCAGCAGGTAGAATGCTAATCCTAGAATTCATTAAATTCCCTCTCCACTGTTACTTTAAAGGAATAGATCTGGTTCAGACCACTGACTAAAGCATCAGTTGAGTGTCTCCGCTTTGTGGCAGCCCCAAAATATCTACATGCAGGCTGCTCACTCCATGACAATTTTCCTCGCAAAGAAGACCTCCATCTTTGTGGAACAGCTGTCCTGCAGCTGTGCGAGGTCAGGCTCAAGAGCAGGCCTTGATTGTGAGGGTCTGCTGGTGTATGTTTATTTGCATGTACATATATGACAGGGGAATTCAGAACATTCCTCTGACATGTGGATTGTAGGATAAGCATGAGAGCCAACTGCTGGCAGAGGAGAGAGTCAAATCTGCAACCCTCAGATTCCCTTCCTCGACCCTGTTTGTCCATTTGGGACTAGAAAACCATTGCATTTGGACAAGGGTGCAGATTCGTGGCCTCACCAGCAGGTCTGTTTTGGACTAACTCTGCTCCAGAAATCCTTGGGACAACGCTCTGTGAATCAACTGAGCATTACTATAGCAGATAGTAGAAACAGCTTCAGGAGATTCTCTAGATCAAATTAACTATTTGGAACACAACTTCAGGTACTGCAGATTATGTGCCCTAAATTCAATTGTTCTGGACTAATTGCACAGAAACCTGTCCCCTGCATTACTTTCTGGCCCTTTCCAAACTAGACAATACCCCATCCCTATCCTTACCCCTTATTCCGATATAGAACTTCACTGCTGCCCAGTAAGAACCAATGATACCTCATGCAGAGTGAGCATAGCTAATAGGAACAACGGAGCGTGGGAGATAAACTCCAAAGAATTTGGCAAAGCTCCTGCCCCCCTCAAAAAAACTCAGCATCTGCTAAGGAAAGGTTTCTATCAAAAATGCTGGAAAAAGAAACAAGAGAGATCATCTCATGAGTGCACAACAGAAAGGGACGCTGGTTTTTTTTCTCTCACAGGTTTTGCCGTAGTGTGAGACAAGGAAAGAGGAAAGTGCATGGAACTGTGTGGCTGATCTGGTGCACATGTGTGCATTTCCACACCGTGTACAGATGGTAGTGTCAAACCCTCATAACTATCCATTAGACCAGTATTTCTCAACCTTGGCAACTTGAAGATGTCTGGACTTCAACTCTGGCTGGCTGGGGAATTCTGGGAGTTGAAGTCCGGACATCTTCAAGTTGCCAAGGTTGAGAAACACTGCATTAGACAGCCTCCATTACATCTAATTATATACAATTCCTTTTGTTGCAGCTGTGACTGTTAAGATCTTTGTTGACGCTTGTTTTAACAGTAACAACACAAAAACCAATTGTACTTCACTGCTGGTAGTCACCTGTACGTAGAGGAAGCCAAAGGAAATGCAACAACTCAAAAGAGTAAGAAAAATGAAGTGGAGAAAAGGGGATCAGCAAAAGTGTCAAACCATAGTAACAACAGACACCCACAATCTCACAGGGCCAACTAGGCTGGGTACTCTGACGAAACGTACCTGTCTTGAGCTAGCTACTCTAGCCCCAATGGTCAGTTTGGGGTACAATTGACGTATGCCCCTTTGCTGCCTTGCTAATCTTTTTTTTTAATTATTTATAAAAGAATGAATACTGTCCTATCCTAAATATTTGTCCATTTGCAATAGCAGCAAGGTGTTTCTTTTCAAAGAGAAACACTTTCCAGTCAAATCGAACTTGTCACCATGAACCGAGGAGGGCCCATATTTTCTTGTTACTATGGGGGGAAAAGGAATTCCAGTTCACGCAGAATAAGACTGGAAATATTTTCCATGTAATCCAGACATTATTGTTTTTTTTTTCCTGAGATGCAGGAAAAGTTCATTCAGAGCAAGGAATACACAAGGAAGCACTAGATATCAAGATCAGCGGGAGAATAGATTTGTGCATGCATGTTTGAGGGAGGGAGGGAAGGAAGAGGAAATTTATTCCTTGCTCTGGAATGGAATTCGGTTGGAACATCTGGCATTCAGGAGTGTTTCTGCTTTTGCTTTCTTTTCACTTGTAGAAATGCAATGTTAATTTGGTTAACAAGGGAACATATGTTTGGTGGGAGAAGTAATGCTTAATCTAAACCATTTCCAGATCTGAACCACAATGGTGCACTGAATTGGCCTACTCAATGAGTGGAACTGAGACGAAATTTGATTTGCCTGGAGCCTCCACCTCTCCCCGCAGGTGTTTCTTCAAAGCAACGATTAAGCAAGTGCTCTTAGTTTCTTTAACATATTCAGAATTCACCTTGGATTTAGGCTAATTAAGTAGACAAATCTCTAGGGAGCGATCTCCTTTTTCATACCCCAGCAAACATAATCCCTCATAAATCTTGAGACAGTTTTGGGATTTGAGACTGGTCGATGTGAGTGTTATTTTTTTTTGCCCATGATGAATGAAGAAAAAATCCCTTTTTAAACCAAAAAAAAACAAACCACACCATTGTTTTGGGGTGGCCTGTCCAGAACTATTTTATACATTGTTTTAACAGAGAGTTACTTCAGGATGAGTTGATGAGATTCTTTGAGAAGACAAGATTCTCGTAGGCAAAGGCCAAAATCTGCTTTGGATCAGGGAGGTCCAACATGAATTTTTTTTTTTAAGCTTCTCATCTGTGTTACCCAATGTCTCTTACTTTTCTTTGCAGAGGAGCAGCTCAGTGAAGAGATAGGTTAAGGACTAAAGATTCTGATTCGCAGGGCTTGAGTGAAAAAAATATCATTGTCGTCATCATCATCATCACCATCAGTTTTCTTCACTTGAAGATCCTGTCAGAGGAACCAAGACTGGACCAGAAGACAGAAAGAGAGAGAGAGAAAGAGAGAGAATTAAAATTGAGACTCTGATAAACTCCTTTCTTTTTCTTACGCCTGATATTGAAATACTCGTTAAAATTCACCCCAAGGGTTTTCTAGGCTCTTTGTGACTTTGTTATCTTCGGTCTCAGGCAACCTGATAGCCCCCATTATTTGTTCCTCTGTATCACTTAATTCCTGATTTCCTCTCATATTGCACCACAGCACAATGCCCATCACCTTCTTATAACAGTCACCTAATGCAGCCTCCTGAGATTTTGATTCAGATTTGTCATCAAGCACAAATTTAATAGGTTGCTAAAAGCGGTAGCTGGCACTGATTCTCAGATGAGTGTATCCACAGGGATTACACATATAATTCCATGCGCCTATTTTTTTATTGCACCTATTTTTTATTGCATGCACACTACACATTTGTAGGGATATATTTCAAACTGGGCAAAACTAAACACCACGATAAGCATACTACTACCAGTAGTGAAAACCGTAGCTCCATATTCAGTTTCTTTCTTTCATATCAT